ATTGGATTAATTAATACGAGTATAACATTTTATTTATACATTCTGTATGTTACGTAAGTAAAACGGGATTATTATAGATTTTTTAAGCTAAAACTGTATATTTTAAAAATTGTTTATTTTATTATCTGCCAGTTAAGTTTTATGTTAAAAATTTTATGAAATAAATTTCTCTTTTTCATATATATTTATATATTCTATATATTCTAGATATCGCAATATTTGTATAAATATAACTTTTATATAAATAGCAATTTATATAAAGTGAAATAATACGCTATTAAATGGTAATACGCTGTTAAATCACATTTAGAGCGGATCACTTTTCAAGATTTTTTTCACAACATTCGGATTATATCTTTGATGCGCAATAGCAATCTTCTTTCTCCATTTGCGCAAATGATGTAGCCTATCTCTGCATTGTCAGAAAAAATAGATGTGCAAGAGAGGAGCAGTATTTTTCCTTGAAATGGTGCTGTGCATATTTTGCTCGTTTATTATGCATGCTTGTTTTCGCGTTATTACGCAGATGCAGCTTTACGCCATACGTAAAAGCATGTCTTCCAAATCTTTCGCATTGATCGACTACATCAATTATTTATATTATATAAATCTCTGTATTTCATATTTATTTTTTAATATACATATAATTCCAATGTACAAAGTGTCCTAAAAATATATCGCATTGTTTATAACATTTTTATTAAAATGTACTTTTCTAAATAGATAATTTAAACTTACATTTTATTTTATTTTGAGCAAATTTTAATATAATAAATTTATAATTGCAAGAATTAACTTCAAAATTTTATGGGATTAAGAATCTATAGGTGAATTAATGTATATAGAGAATTTGGTATATACTCCAATCAACTTTGATATATTGTGCGCTGTACGTCGCATAAATAGTAAAGTGATATACAATGCCTCTTACATAAATGGTACATAAATGGTTAAGTTAGTAAATTGTTGAAGATTTAATACAGGTATTACTCCTCTACAATATTTATCTTTTATATAAATATTTGCATAATATAATACATACAATTTAAACATAATTAGCATTACATCATTTTATATGACATCTTATATCTTTATTTTACGTCTGTTATTAAAAATTATATAATTTCTTAGATGCACATGTATATTAAAAAAAGATTTGATTGACTTTTTAAATATTAATCTTTATTTAAAGTTAGGAATTAATGAAAAATATTATGGAATTCTTTGGGGATAGTTATAATTTTTTTTATATCGTAAACGTTAATATGTATAACATGTACGGTAACGTTAAAATAACCAGTACAGACTTGCATCAAAATATCGATTGTAAGAATATAAAGAGTACGAAAAAATTCCATTAGAAATGTCAGTTCGCGCACGTCTTTTATTACGCAAGCTTGGCGCACACAATGCCACGTGGTTCACTCAGAATTCAAGTCTTCCGCTCGCATCACAGCGCAAGCTCGTCACGCAAGCTTGGCTCCCGGTGCGAATCGATGTTGTCTCTCCGTCAGCCCGTCCATTCATTTCTATACGTGTTTCGTTATACCAAAATAACCCATCATCCCTAGTGCGCAAACCTACCCTTAACAGAGCGCAGGTTATCTCGCTAATTAAGCAGGGATACTCATTCATTGAATTTGGCAAGTATATAAAAAAATTGATCAAAAATATCAAATAATTTAATTAATGAAATATTAAAAAATAGCAAAACAATGTTATGACTTAATAAAGATAATTGAGATGAACTAAGATAAATTTATCTTGTCAAAAAATCATGAATGTAAATGATTCCAGAAGAAAAATATAATTTTTCGCGTCTCAACAGTATATCACTCTCTTCTCGATTTTGGAAAGGCATCGAATGGAAAAGACAGACTTACGAAAACATGTATCTTTTTCTCGACAAGACAAATGGTCTTCGAATACAGTTCGATAGCGTGTTAAGAGATATGGTGATGAGAAAACCTATAACATGATTACTATCGAAGAGCGGGTAAATCGTGTGTGGCGTATCGTCATTTATCCATATGCTACGCGATCATTTTTCATTCACCAGAGTAGTCTACGAGAAACCTGGATATGACAGGGTGTCAAACTGAGATGACCGGGGATAGAGTAGATCTCGGACGTACCTCCAAAGTGGCGCAGTCGCCTTGACAACAAAGCGGCGCCACGTGCGTGTATGCGCGCTCTTTCACGACGACGACGGCGACAACGAAGAGGAGACGGAGTAGAACAAGGAGAAAGGGGAGGATAACATCGAGGAGCGAGTGAGATTATATCCCGCACAAGAATGAGAGGGAAAAAGAGAAATAGAGAGAGAGAGGGTGAAGGAGAGAAGGAGAGGGTGAGAGCGCGTTTGATGGTGCTAGCTAGAGAGAAGAGGAACACGGGGGTTGGAAGGCCGGCGGCGAGGGGGTGGCGCGCGAGAGAAAACCGCTAGCGTGTACCGCAGTACGGGATAGTGAGCTGCGAGCTGGCCTCCTCTCTCTCACGCCGCGAAAAAGCCATCGTTGACCATGAAACAATACGACCGACCGTTCAGCTATTTACTCTCTGCATTATTCAACCCTTCATGAGATAGATGGTTCGCGAAGCTGCTCGATCTTCGTATTTTTTGTATCCAGTTGCGTGATGCGCGAAAAAACGGTGGTAGTTATCGGATTTACGCGCGATTGTTCTCGCGATCGTTCTCGACTCTCCTCAGGGTGTGATTGACTTATTTCGTTTCACGAGTCTTCGTGACGCGCCCGATCGAATGTCAAGGACGATGCGGCATTTGTACTCTATCCTTGTGCTCCGGATGTGCGACAGACGTTAAATTCTACGAACGGTGACGGACGGAGGGACAAGCAACGACGTCGTCGTCGATGGTATCGCTACTGCGCGAGTGTGAGAATTGTGACACTAGATAGAGAGTCCTTTGTTCTTTTTCTTCTCGAAATGCCTTGTCGTCGGTTAAATCGCCAAGCGCGCCACTTGTCGTCGCATCGATATTACGTTGATATCACTAAGATACTGAGAACACAGGCGTCTGTTCGCGAGTGCGGCGAGTCGGAGGACGACGAGATGGATAACGATTCTCGCACGACTGCTTCTAGAAGTGACAGCGGAACATTATCCTCGTGAGACGCTGCCACCTGCGCCGAGTGCATAGCAGCTCATTGGTCCTCTGAATGACGAGTTGAATTGGTTGATACCTGTCACTGATGAATTTCGGGAAACATCTTTGATATAAGATGAATTAAACATTTCATATAAACGTTTCATATATATATATATATATATAAAAATTAAATTGTTTTATGAAAAAGGATTTAAGTGAAGACTGGAGATTTGATTGGCATAAACGAATTTTGAGATACATTTACGAAACCTGAAACAATGCTGCAAAGCCCAGAGACTTTGTTGTGTTTAAAATAGAAATCAAAAAATTAAAAAGCACTCTTATATCGTTGATTCGCAAGAAAACAAGTAATTATAAAAACAGTTATTATTGTACAGGACATTGTATAGGATGAAGACACGAGAGAATCTTGTTTCTTTGTTATCCGAAGATTATGTTGTTTAGACAAGGGTTTAAAGCGCTTGTGCGACGTTGTTTTTTTGTCGCACCTTGAACTAAGGTTTTAAGAAAAAGTGAAAAAGTGAATGTTCTCACGCATGCGATCTACATACTTTGCTGTTATCTGATCAAGTGTTTAAATGAGCTATTTGTAGACTCACAAAATCTGTGTGAAGCATATTTTAAAGCTCTAAAGTTTTTTAAAGATATCAAACTAAACAAGAGCAGCATTCGAAACTTGTTAAGTAAACTGATGCAATGTCATCAAGATGTCAAATCATGCGAATTTTGCGAAGGAATGCGTCCATATCGTTGTAGAGATCCGTCGACCATGACCTTCGTTTACCATGTGACGTCATTCGGGTCAAACGGAAATGTGTCGTGTAAATGAGATGTCTCGAGATGCTTTTGTGGTGGCCGTCGCGGCGGCAGTTAGCAGCGATCAATCAAAGTATTAATGCACATTTGTGAGACATTTTATCATCTTGAAGAATATGTTTAGTGACATTTTTGTCGAATAAAACACGCATTTATCCGACAAAAACAAAGATAGAAGATTTATATAAAAAATAATGAGCGATGTCATCTCGTTTTCGTACTCTTTTAATGTGTTTTGGTTATTGTTATGAGTGTAATTATGCTCATTTATAATTCATATATAAATAGTTTATAATAAAAACTATATAATATACGTTTAAAGGACAAACATCGTGGCTTAAAAGTACAAATCGAATATCGAAAAGTTCTTTGAACTTTCCATCGAAATATAAAAGATACTAGACTTGACGTCCTATAAGATGTTAAGTTTGATCTGACTTGTTGTCACAAAAGTTATTTTTGCGAGCAAAATGCGAATCAATACAAAACTATTCCGAGAAGAACATCAAGTACTTTCTTCCTCTATAGTTGCACAAAATGTGTTAATGGTTCATGTGGTGCCACTGTTGCTTGCAATCAATCATTGTTTTTATCTAACGATGATTATAGTGCTCAATGCGAGTGTCACTTGATATCAAAAATAATTGCGCAAAAACCGAACTTTATGAAACTCTCATTTTTGCTAATCAAAATTTAACAATAGTTGAACAGAAACGAAGTTTCTCTTTCTCGATCGTTATTTAAACCGCGTGTTTTAATAAAAAAATAGATATTGTCTGATATAAAAAATAAATATCGTAGATAACGTTTAGTTACATGAAATTTGTTAAGACTTTGCAATTTTGACAAATGGCTTTTAGAGTGTACTTGTAATCATTATTAATAATCTTTGGAGATGAATTAGCATCAGAGAAACTAATATTCAGAATCGCGAAGTTTGTTGGGAGTTTCCACAAGTATTGTTAATATTAAGAACGTAAGTTAAAAGATAATATTAATTATATTGCGGTCTTGCAATAGTTATTTTATTTTTTTTTTTTTTTAATCAGAAAATGTATGTGAAACTTTCGTATTTATAAGTACTGTCTTCCACATCATATCTCGAAAGAATGAATTGAGAACCAAATATGCCTCTACGTTTTGAAAAATCATTTACAACTTTCTCTTGATGCAAATTTATTCGGTACATCGCAGACAAAGCCTAAATTATTCAACTGTCCTTTTCATCGCGCACAAACGAAACCTACGAAATTACTTTCGCTACTCCTTCGTTAAGTCACTTGTATTATGGTTAATGATAAGCGCATTTAATTGCTTTCCTAAAACTTTACTAAATTATAATCACCTTTTCACGAGTAGCGAAACAATTTCAAGCGGTTGCATGCATTTTCTCCATAATCTCGCTATCTATTTTAATACATTTAGCAAGCGGCATAATATTCCCGTCGTATCTCCTTTGAGAGTGTCTTTAAAAAGCAATAACAGAAGAACTTACAATAACATTTTAGTGCAAATTTTGGATTGTTGTCAAAAATGACTTCTCTTTGATTTCAATAACCAAAGAAACAATTTCACATATGTAAGATTAGGCATTTTATTACATTATTTAGAATATGTGCAGTATTTAAAATATTTTACAATTACAATAGTAGAACACATTCACATTTTAGTTTTGTGAAATAAAACAATAACATTGTGATTTTAAGAAAGGCGGATAATTCTAAATTTATAATGAGCCAATCGATTATTGTTATACGGTAGCGGATAATATTTCTTAAACATACTCATCAAGCGTTTATCAACTTCTTCTCTCCGTTACGTTATGATAGTTTCCACGGATTTGCTCGTCGTAATTCTATCAATGCTGGCTGAATTATAACTATGCTGAGTGATCGAAGAAAATTTACGGTGATGTGGTCGAAAAAACAATGTGGCCGTACATTGCCGATAGAGCTCGCACGTCCTGCGATAGCTTCAAAGTGAAGCTGCCGGCAGCAAAGAAACGGGAGAGGGAGAGAGAGAACGAGTCGGTGTGCCGTAAGCTCCTCGCCCTGTTCCATCACCGCAAGCCTCGGGATCCACTTCGCGGCTCCAGCTCTGCCTCGTCGGTGCCCCTGCTCGATATGGGCGCCAGAGCATGGGACTACGAGGCCTTACCGGAGCTCCACACCTCGACAGCGGTTACGCCGACCTCGACGCCGCCGAATGCGTCCCAGCAGAAGGCGCCCAGGGTATATTTTCAAGCAGAGAATCTGGCGTCCACCAGGCGAAGGAGCAGCAGCAGACTGCTGACGCCGCAGCAGTCCTGCAGGAGACGCAGCCGGAGCATGAGCGCCTGGAGCGATCTGTCCAGGTCGTCTTTCAGGTTGGACGAAAGGTTGGTTGGCCGGCATCTCTGGATATAGATCCAATTTCCATTGTCACAGCTTCATTTGATCTCGTAAACTTTTTTTTTTTTATATTTTATTAGGTGATCTGCTTTAATATAGTACCTGCAGGATTATATAATTTATACTTATAACCGCGGAGAAAGTATGCAAATGTACAAATATTTTTCTGGAATTTGGAGATAAGGTGATAATAAGTATGTTAAATTTTTTTTCCATTCGATTAATCTCATATTACCAAGACTTACATTTTTCTGTATTTTGCAGAGAATAATATTCTTTTTATGTTTTGTCTTTTTTTATTATTTTGTTAAAGAGAAAAATTTGAACGACGATTTGGACGACATGATCCAAACTTTTTTCTTGCAAATTCTTTCATAGAACAGTTTCTTTTATGACATTTACTCACTGAATCGAGATTAATTTTCCATTAAACGCAAGGAAATGCAATTATTCATCTTAAAAACTGGAAATTTATTCCTCGTCGCAGCAAGGATGAAATTTATGTCATTGTAACAAAATTTCTATCGAGTTGATTATATAAATACGGTATTCTATTATCTCTCAACGATGAAAAATTCATCTCTTTATTCCACAAATCTTTCATTTATTTGTATTATATTTGAGCGTAATGTTTAACTATAGGAATTATATATATATATATATGTTACTATAGGAATTTGTATATATTTTTTGCCATTTTTTGTTTTGGTTTACGAAATTATCCAATTATTGAACAAATAGTTTAGACTGTGTAAAAAAATACAATATTAAAACGTTTATTATAAAAACATTTATTATATTTTATATATTGTTACTGTGCGCTTTTAGAAATTTTTTCTTTACAAGAGTTTGCTTTTTACGTTGTATTTTTTTTCTTAATAAAAAAACCGTGATTCTTTATTAATATATGTAAGTTTTTATATGATTAAAGTGGGCGAATAGCTCGACTATCGTTTTTAAATAAAAGTGTTAAAAGTGTTATAGAGAAGTTAATAATATCATTGTTAACTTTTTTTCATTGAGCAAGCGCTAAACTGCTTTGTCTCGTGAATACACCATAAACAACCCTGCACAAAAACAAGCTTTCAATTATCGACCATCGTTGTCGACAACATGCAGGTATGGTCATTTCATCGAAAACCAATAGTGATTGCTATGGCACGTAGAAATAAAACCATGAGTGCACTTTTGTGCCACACTATGTATAAATATATCTAACGTGTATAAATTCTGTAACAAAATTTTGTCGATAGTTGATAAATCGTGGCATTTGTTAATATTCGTGTAGCGCATGAAAAAATGTAAGAACAACTAAATAGTTTTATAACATAATGATAGTGACTCTAAAAATATTGAGACACTTTTTACCACATAAAACAATAATATTTTTATAATAATAGTCTATTAGCAATAAAAAAATTATGAAAATATTTTTTATTAATTCTCTTTCTCTTTTTGTTTCTTGTTTTCACGTTACAATTAGATAATGTTTAGCATTTTCTAGAAAAATTGAAATTAAAAACATAACTTTGCTTTAGTTGAAGAACATGACGGATATATCCTAAACTTTTTACTGCTAAAACATATTACTTCTTTTTATTAAATTTTATACAAGTTTCTATAAGCTTTTTCTCAAGTTAAATGATAATGGATTTTATCTTTTCGCTTATTTTTACGTTCCAACGTGTATTTTAGCAATGAATATATAATTTGAAGTTCTTAAATATTTAATAATGGTTAGAAAATAAACTATATATTAATAAAAATTCTTTTTTAACTGTTATGCAATTACGTTCATTACAAACAACTGAAAATGTGAATTATGATAGCGATTATAAATCTACAAAGAAAGACATAAACGGAAAGAAATGTTAAGGCTGAGAATATATATAATATAACCTGTATGTGAAATACATAATTAACGTAAGTTCCAAATATAATAATTCAGAATAAGGAAAAGCACAGTATAACTTAGAATTGCATAGTTTCTTAGAATTGATCGAATTCCGCTTTTCTACTCACGAATACCTTAAATGAAGCTACGCACGACATCACAAAAATTCCATCAAAACCAAGTTTAAAAGCGTCTTTAGTATTATATTGAAATTATAGCAATATTATGTTAAATTTATAATGTTTTCTATTTAATCAAGACTGTTGCAAAATTCGAAACTTGTTTTATTAGATACATTATTAACATATTTATTATAAACAGACCTTGCCATTTTGCTTTAACTGTAATTATATTGTTCTATGCATTTTGTAATTCTTTAGAGAATAATTTGATTTGGTTGAAATAATGAAAATAGAGTACTATCAAGCGATTTTATTTTATGCATAAGTTACACTTATTTAAATGTTATATCACTATGAATATCTCATTATTCTATCTTTCATAATACATCATACGAAGGAGATAAAAGATAATCAAGAGCCAGCGCGGTAATTTGTGCGCATATGTTTTATTACAATCAAATTATATTAATATTTTGATTATTTTGATAAACAAAATCATAAAAAGCGTACTTTTCGGTCCCTTTTTTTGGACCATTCTCAGCGCAATTATAAAGTATATGGAATATATTATATCAAAAATGTAACAGTAATAATACGCAGAACAAGAGTGAGTCACCCATGTTGTCAGATGGTAAATGTTGTATAATATAATTTCGAGACAGAAAGAGACTGTCCGATAAAATATACTACATTACAAAATAACTGGTAATATAATCATACCGAACTTGAGTGAATCATCCATGTTATATAGAAGACAGATGTTACACACGGATGTGTTCGAGACAAGATGTCAAGTCTCTTCATATCGCACAATACATAAAGTAAATATGAATACAAGAATTAAAAGACAAGAAAATAGCCTTAATTTACAGACAGACACAGAATGTTTATATTAAGCTTATACGGATGTGATTGATAAGTTAACAAAACTTTAAAAGTCATGCCATCTTATTTGTAAACACTTCTCAATGTATTCATATTTATTTTATGTATCATGCGATATGAAGAGACTTGATACTTGACATTCTGTCTCGAACAACCGTGTGTAACGTTTGCCTTCTGTACAACATGGGTAACTCACTTAAGTTCGGTATGATTATATTGCCAGTTATTTTTTAATGTAGTATATTTTATCGGACGGCCTCTTTTTGTCTTAAAATTACATTATATAACATTTACCATCTGACAACATGGATGACTCACTCTTGTTCTATTACTATTACATTTTTGATATAATATATTCCATATACTTTGCAATTGCGCTGAGGATGGCCCAAAAAAAGAGACCAAAACGTACGCTTTTTGTGATTTTGTCTATCACGTAGTCAAAATATTAATGTAATTTAATTGTAATAAAACATATGTGCCCAAATTACTGCGCTGGCTCTTGATTACCTTTTATTTCCTTCGTATGATATATTCATATGATCCTTTATTAATTAATTTGATTTTATAATACACTTTGATCTGTTTTTAAAAACCTTGAGATATCACTCAATAAGTATTCTAAAAATTAAACAAAAAGAGTAGCAAGAGGTTTTTTCTTAATTGCGGAGAAAGTATTATATTGTATTTTCAGACAACGACGGAATTCTTAGAGTTCTTATGTTATTAGAGTGAAATGAGATTTTTTTCTCAAGCACCCAAGTACTTCAGACTCATTTCCATATCCTTCCTTATTTCTACACTCTAACCATTATGCAAATTTCTAGTAATCTATTTCTAAGTAACCAAGAGATTGCAATTGCGCGAAATAATCACAAAATTAAATATAAGAGATAGCAAGAGTTTTGCATAAGAAAAAATTACTTATGTATTTAGTTTATACGACTATTATATCGATAATTTGAAAATGAATGAGGTATTGTTTTTTCTTCGACAAAATTTGCATAATTTTATTGTTATTATACCTAATAATGTAACAAATTCTACAAAACTAATGATATGGTACTTTTTTAAAATTAAAATACTTATTATGCATAGAATCTTTTTTTCAATTTTTTTCTAAATTTTAAAATAGAAAATTGCTTACGTTATATTATTTACATACTTCTATGTGTTTATATTTTTTGGGATGCACTCCGTTTGACGTTATTTTCGGTTCGAAGTGTCTGATGGATTAATCAAGACGATTATGTTCTTATTGTTATTTTTATCACTAAAGAAGCTACAAAATTTGTCAAAAAATAACAAAGAGATTCAGAAGAGAAATCAACTTTTCTTTTTCTTCTTCTCTCTTTACTGTTTTGTTTTTTGTTATGCACAAGGCAAATACATTAAGATATTTTTATTTTCTTGTTTCAGGTAAGTGCGGGTCCATATTCTTGCTATTTTAATTCTGCGTTATACGTAAGTAATTAAATCAATATTATCAATTGCTATTGATTTTATCGAGCATAAAGTATAAAGCGAATTGAATCCAATTGCATTGAATTTTTCAAATCGATGCTATATGACATAATAGCAATTATGCTAAATGTGTCATTGAGTGAACGTGTTGCAAAAAATATCGAATATGATTGTGAATACCATAAAAAAAATAGTTTCTTTGTTGCTAGACATAAACCACCAGCATGTTTATGGAGAACTGTAACAAAATTGCTTACTATTATTTGAACAATCGTTCAAATATAAAAAAAATATAATAATGTTTATATGGATAACTCTTAATAACTTGCAATCAACTATTAATTAAGCATTTTTTACAGAAAAGAAATCAGGGATTAACAAAATTAACAATAGGCTTTTTATATTATGCGAGTAATTTAGAGTTTGATTACATAAATTTGAACCCCTATTTGATGAGGCAATCATGGGCATTAGAATTCTTTTTTTATTAATTAATAATATGGATCTAAATATTACTTTTTTTATGTTAATATAAATAGAAAAATAAATATTTTCTGCAATTAAGTTACTATTATGAAGATATATATAAAGTTTAGTTCTCTTTTTTTATTACGATCGCTTTTAAAACATTTTTATTTTAAAATAAAATTAAAATTTAATTAATTCCTAAATTCTTTAAAATTCTTTTCTGGTTCTTGAATGTAAAATATTTGTTTACAGAAATCAATCCTTTTTTTCAAACATAAGCGTTCAATTAATTAGTGTAAAATATTATGCGAATGTAATATAAATATAAACTTTTATATTTATTTATAAAGTTTTACATAAACTTACATATCACGAAGTGTTGCACGAGATTGGGCAATTGCAGAGAATATTCGCAGAGAAATTTATTTTGTGGTAAATTAGCTTTTAGATGCAATACTCGGCTTACTCAATTTATTTTTATAGCTACAAATCCATTTAGGAAATATGAGAAATTACTGCACGAGTCTTTTTAATGAATATATCTTACGATCTAACATATACAATATAAACGATACAATACAAGTATACCTAGAAATAGCCTCTATAAAAATCACAGAATATATATATTTGTAAAACAAATATCCGCATTTATATCTGATATTGCTGATAAAGTAAGTCGATACTTTAAAGAGAATTTAAAGTGTATAAAGTTTCAAAAGAAATTGATTTAAAAGGCAATTTGTTAAGGTTAACAAAAACATTCGATATTTACATATACACACGTACTATTTTTATAATGTTACAAGAAAGATCTCTTAAAGAAAGTGAAGATATCTGAATATAAAGAATATTACCTTACCATATATCACGTTTGAACAACTACATTTGTTACAATTTTATACTTTTTTCTATAAAAAATATATTTTAGAGATCTAAAAAATATTTGCAACTTATCTTGAGAAATATCTTGCTTGGTGCATAGAATAAAAATTGTAGAGAGATATTTGTATTACAAATTATATCTCAAAATTCGAGAGCAACTTTGGTATCGATACAAGCATTCTTCAATTTGACATTATTTTTGCAACGGAAATGTCAGAGGTTTACCATCATCTCTTTTCCATTACTATCCTTTTATCTTGTTTGACATTGTTATCGCGAATTGCTATCCAGTTTTGGCTCAAGCTTTCGAAACTAGGATCACGCTCAGTGTTCACGCTCAGATGCATTCTTATCGTTATCGTTTCATGGGATTGAGGTCAATATGGCAACAAGATAATTGCATTAAAGATATAGCGCCATGTATATTTTAATGTTTTTTTATGCGAAAATAACATGGCATTCCTAAATATAGACGCATACTAAAGAGATTTATTTTTTTTTAAATAAAATATAACAATTTACAAACTATAATATTTGTAAAAAACAACTATAATAACTAATAATACATATGTAAATAATTTAAATTATATTTAAATACACATGAAAAGGAAGTTAAAGTTTAATGCAATTTGTTTGACAATGTGTACGCTGTTTGCTCAGAGTAATCCAAAGCAATATTTTGCGAGTTGCATTTACAATTCTAAGGCAGAATAATCAATTATTATGGATGTTATCAACTGATTCATATCTTCCCTTTTGTGTTTATTCTGTCGGGTTTAATGTTGTTCCCCCTACATCATTCTAAATGTGAAGCTTTGCTCAATAACATTACTTACGCGAAGTACCTCGATTAGGTGCCTTGTCGATTATGCTGCGGATGATGAACCATAAATTGAGCGTGCTATCTTCTCATACAACATGTTCCATATAAAGACACTCTCACATATCTTATACAATATTATATATAAAAAGATATTATAGGAAAAATGTTTTTAAAAAATGACGATTAGAAAAAAAACTGTTTTTATCGCTTGTATATCAACACTTTGCAATTTCAAAAATCTAATTTTTATAGTAGACAAAAAAGAAATTCTCTCTATCAATTAAATTTTTAGTGTCTTTTTGAAGTTCTTATATTATCTTTTAATTTTTACAAAATGCAATCGTAATTCAAATAATAAAAAAAAACGTTATAAAGTAAGTTTTGCAGTTTTAGATTGCTCAATATATATTTGCGCATTCTACAAACGATACAATATTTTTCAATTAAATATTGTTTAAAGCGTTAAATATTGTTTAAATTGTTTTATTTATTCCAAATTTTTTTTTATAAAATAAATTATAATTTCCTATATAAAATAATTCTTGCATTTATTTTTCTTTCTTGTTTATATTTTATATGGCAATATAAAATATATATATCTAACGTTTTTAAATAAATGCTTTTGCAAAGATATAAAATATTTATAGAAGAAACAGAAACAAGTATTGTGTGTGTATGTGTGATTGTTTGAAAATTAAATATTTATTGATTAAACATTTATTTTTAGAATTTAATATTTGTAAAAATTATTAATTATATTTCTTTTTAATTTTCTTAGAAAATTTATTTTTTATAAAAATGAAAATATCCATCTCTTCGCGTAAACTGATCGTTATAACGCAAATTATCTCATAATTATAATAATTATTATTTTTACTTGATGATAATTTATTACTTATCATCGGCCGGAAGTTCACAAATTATAGCAAAGCTTTATCAATTTTTGGCATGCATTCTGGATTGTGGTACATCGAGCATTGTGAGCTTGCAGGTTACTTGCCTCTGTTGGTAAGATAGGTGCCTGATGAGCTTTTTTTCTATATGACATTAGTCCCATATATTATAATCTGTGCTTTCTTTCCTACCTTATCGACTGTATAAGAAAAGCTCAATGAGCTTTTGGAAAATTTCACGTTAATGCCTGACAAGAATTCTACTTCTTTACGAAGAATTTATTATTCATATGAACTATGAAGTAGTATAAGCAAATATTAAAAGCGACACAAGTCTCGTTCATGCACAATAATATCTTTTCAAAAAAGTTATACATATAAACAGATATATTTATTTAAATTATCAATAAATCATTCAATCAAACTTATTGAATATAATGAACTCTTTTAATATCTCTTAAAAATTATCTATATAATTTATTGAAAATGTTTGAAATGAAGTATCATAAGGAACAAAACAGTATGTTATTTGCCATAAAAATGTGATATAAACTAATTAATATATAAGGTATTCATCCTCTGAGAGTATTAAACAATAAACGATTCACACGAAATTTTACTGTAATTAAGTAATATAATATTAATATGTAATGAGAAATAATTATTGTACAAATAATTTATCGAAATAAATGTTCTCTAATCTTGTTATTTTTTCTTTTGTAATAATATTGCAATATAATAAAAGAATTAATGAATATTTTATCATCCCTCTTCGAATGTAGATACTTTTTTTCTTGAAATAATATTCTCTCAAAATAATTGGTCTTTTATCATTGCCTGTCGGAGTTACTGTGCGATAAAAATTCTCTCATTCATATATAAGTAAATCTGTCAGAATTTCTCTTTTTCTTATCTTGGAGAAAAAAATAATGAAATATTATTTTGGGTAAAATTCTGGGAATAAGAAAGAGGGAAGATAAAAAACTATTTCGCAGATTAATTCTCGCTCTCTATAGAAGTTTCTATTTTTCTAAAAATAATTATTAATATGCTTATGGAATCTTTTACTATATTTCAAAGACTACAAACAAAATTATATTATTATATGATAAACGCGAAATCAAAACATGTTTTATGATTCGTATTATGAAAATTCCTTAGAGATTTCGTAATGAGTACGGGCTTTGCCAACCCGAGGCACTCGAGTTATCCAACGCGCAAGAGATTTTTAAAAACGAAATATTCAAGTCTCCTGAGACTATAAATAAGAAAACATAATAATGTGTGTCACATGCCGAGCGATGTTTATATTTAAAAATTAATGTTAGAGCCGCTAAATAATGCATTTCTCGCTTGGGACACTGCATGGCTATAATTGTATATTTTCCATTTTAAAAAATTAATGAATTGTTCGTGCTGACGGTCTCATTAAAAGATTTTCTCAATATTAGTGTAATGACTATTACAATTGCTGATTGCAATGCCGACCTGCAATAACAAAATGAATAACTCGACAATCCACTTTATCGTCATGTTTCCGAACTGCCATAAAAGTTGAATTATTTAGTAAAGTTATAGTTATTATTTTGTTGCGTATAATTGCTATTTCAAATATGTTGAAGTATCTGCGACTAGTTTATTTATCAAGCCCTTAATTAAAGCTTGTATTGCTTTTATATTAACTACTTTTATCATTTCTTATGTTTTTTTTTAGATAAGATGATACTGCTTATGTCAAGATAGAAAAAACAAATTTTTTAAGATATGAGAAATATTAAAGAATTTCTATGTCCACTTTTTATGATTATAAAAGAGTAACTTTTATTTCTGACTTCTATGCCATCATGATGATATATGTTAATTTTATCATGATGTATGTTAGTTGTTTTATCAGAAGATCATTAAATCGATACTAAAAACGTTGCTGTCATTTTATCAAACGCGACATGTTAAATAGATAAAATTTAAAATTGCTTATATATTTGTTTTTTGTTCTATAAAATATTAATGTTTTGTTTTTCAATGAAATATTTGTTGAATGTTGAATATTTTTAATAATTGTAAGATTCTTTTTACGTTGCCATCATCAGAGTAGGCAATGTACAACCAATGTTTAAAACAATATTCAAGAAATAAAAGGTTTGATTATCCCTATTGTCATACTTATATGTCAATCAATTAATGAACATTAGGCAGTCCAGTTAAACGGCTGCCTGAAACATTTAAGCATTAAAAGTTACTGAGGCTTAATAATATATTACGAACATAAGGGATAACGAGGATTTAATGACATATTAGTAAAATATTAAATAATTTTATTACTGGTCTTTTTTCGTAGAACATGATATCTTTACATGAGAATTATTTCAGATATATAAACTGCTATATTTTATTCAG